CGCCACCAGTTCTAAGCTCTCTTCCAGATGCCTATAATGAATTCTTCTGCTCCACAAGAATTCGCGGCGAAAAGAAGACCGTTGGCTCCTTTTGGACACGGTAATCCCGGTGAGAAACGACTCGTCGATCGACGTCGTCTCGGCATCGACGGACGCGTCGCTTCTCGACGGGACTCCCGAGGCATTTAAAAACGTCAACACTACTTAATTGAATTCGTACAACGATCGTCTATCTGGAACGCTGGCTAAAAGAAACAGAGAGGCGCACAGTTGTTCCTTTCCGTAACATCGCGAACCCCAGTGAGAAATGAGAAATTCGTCGATCGAGAAATTACATTCGAAACGACGTCGAATCGACGTCAATTTGACGGTGTCGATGTCGATTCGACGTCGATCGACGAATCATTTCTCACTGGGACGCCCGTGAGCCTCGGACACAATCTTTCACCGCGAGATTTCCGCGCTCGAAGGAGATGCCCCCGGGATGACACGCGCGTTATCGGTCGGTGATAAAGCCCGCGGGAGGGAGAGAGAAAGAGAGAGAGAGAGAGTCGCTTTCGGACGGAGATGGACGCGCGCGTCTTTTCTCCCGTGCGATACTCGACGCGAAGAGCGTACCTTCGATATGCTCGGCGCGGCTCGATAACCGTTATCGCCCCGCGGGCGCGTAAATCGCGACTCGAAGAACACGGCGGGCGAGAGAGCGCCGAGCTTTCGGGAAACGGAAATACGAATGTAAAAAAAGAACGTGACTTCACGCCCGCGCGCCGCGCTCCAAATCCGCGCGCGGCGAGGACGCGTCGTGCGTGCGTGCGTGCGTGCGCCGCGGAGGCGCGGCCCGCGCGGCGTGCCAGCGGCGCGAGCCGCGCGAGTACATACGCGTGGTACACGCGCGCGCGCGTGGCAGCGCGCGACGACGTCGAGCGGTCGTGTCGGTGAGCCGCGGACGCGACGCGGTGGAGGCGAACGTCCCCGGCGAGGGTCGGGCCGCCCGCGCCTCAGCGCCGAACGTCCCCCCGGGCGCGAGCATGTTCCGAGACGGCCAGTATCTGGAGGTGATCAAGGTACCGCGTGCAACAGCTGTCAACAGCTGGCTGTCAAGCGCGCGCGCGCGCGCCTCCGAACATCTGTTACGAGGAGCCTGGGCGACGCCGGAGCGGGTTTCCCTCGCTCAGCGCCCGGGCGACGTCTCGGTATCTCTTTTTTCCGAACCGGCCCGGAGGCGACGAGCGGCGGAACGATTTGCGCCTTCGAGGGGCCCGGAGACGCGACGGTGTCGGGCGATGGTCCGTCGCGTTTTAATTAGCCGCGCCGGCGGAGCGTCTCTTCATTAGTTTTTTCTCTTTTCCTTTTCTGGAACGACGTCCTGGGTAATTTTGTATCGAGGGCATTGCTCATCGTGTCGCAACGTGTGTCCGCAGGCCTCGGACGACTGCCTGGCGACCGCCGTGGTCACCGTGCAGGAGAGAACGGTGGAGATCGAGAAGCGGAAGGTCGTCACGAACAAGTGGCTGCGGGTCGAGGACTGGGCGGCTCTGTACAGGATACTGGAGCGCGCGATCCTGCGGAACGGCCGCCAGGACGGTGGCCCGCGCCGCGAGGGCCGGCCGCGCGAGTGGAGGAAGTCGACTCGCCAGCTGGAAGTCACGTAAGAGCCGCGGGTCGTCCTGGCCCCGACGACCTTGCTTATCAGATCGATTGGATCTCACCTCGACACCGGTCGACTTACCCGGAGAGACAGTTCTGTTGAATCGGTCGCCGATCAAGTCGATCGGAATTCAGTCTTGTCTATGAATAAAATGTTTTCTTTTTTATTCAATTGTAAAGGAGAGAATTTGTTTTGTATCATGTAACAACGCGTAATGATAGGTCGATGCTAAAAATCCCATACAGCACCGAAGCTTTCAGAAACATCTCGGAAAACATTGTTGCAATGTTGAAATGTTTCTGAAAGCTTCGGTGCTGTATGGGACGGGCATGTACTTTTTAAACAATATATCTCTTACATTTTCTTGTAATTTCTCATAATCGACAAGCATCGATTATACAAGCTAATCTCGCCGCGGGCAGAAACGGACAGTATCGGATCTTCATTTTGTCCCCGATCGGAAATTCACATGCGCACAAATAACGTGAATTTCGTACAACAGGTACACCTTCGAGAACCCGGAAAGCGCGAGCGACACGTCATCCTTGCCCACGATAAAGGTGCACGTGTCGCCGGCCCGGAAGAAAGCGGTGAAGCGAGAGGTGGCGGACGACGAGACGCCGAAGAGGAGCAAGGTGAAAACGGGCGACGACGCGACGCCGAAACGAGGGAAAGAGGAGAGGTCTCCGGTTCGTACGACGACGAAAGGCGATCAAGCCAAGAGGACACCGGAGAAATCGGCACGGCTCTCCCCGGGGAGGACGGAGGCTCCGAGCGCCGCCGCGACGGCGGGGCAGGGAGACCTGAAGCGGAAGAAGTTCCGGACGTACACGCTGTCCGACGATCTGGAGAACGCGCCGTTGGAGGAGTACATCCCGGACGCGCCGCGCGCCAAGAGGTCGTGCCCGGACTTCAAGTACGTGCCCAGCCGGAAGAGCGCGTTGGAGAGTATGCGATTAACGTCGAACGAGTACACGCCGACTCTGTGCGACGGTAAGGTGCGCGCGGCGGAGGGCGTGAGCTACGTGCCGAACTCCGTCGAGAAGCCGGAGGCGAATCACGAGATTTACGAGCCGCGCGCCATCACGGCGGTGCCCGACGGCGTCTTCGAGGAGTACGTGCCCAACTCCAAGGGACTCAACTCCTCCGTGGAGGAGTACGAGCCCGACTTCCGGTCCCCGAGCAAACTGACCAAGTTCGACGACAGTTACGTGCCCTCGAGCGTGGCGCGACGGAGCGCGCCGGACGACTCCAAGAGAGCTCCGGGCAAGGACAAGCCGAAGGCGCAGAGGCCGGAGGCCTGTCGGAAAGGGACGGTGGACAAGAAGAAGATCGACTACCTCTTCTCGTGAGATACACGGACGTCTTGAGTGCTCAGGCGTGGGCGGTGTGCGGCCGAAGGAAGCTCTGCAGTGAGAAAATAGATTTTGATACGACTGACATCTGTAAAAAGTGTAATTTATCTTAATACAATACATAAGATTCTATCTATATATATTACATATTGTTTGTATAGTGATATCTGTAATAAAAATTATTCTTGCTAAGTACAACAGCACGTCGTTGCGTACATTTGATGTCTTGGAACTGGAGCAAATAGCGGCTTCACTCCCGACATGTCGGTATGCCTCCACAGGGATCAGTCTTGCGGCATACGCGATCCACTTAGCGGTCGTTCTCGGCCTCGCTTGGAGGCTCCTCGATCAAGTTCTTTATAGGCTCGTATTTGTTCTCCGCCACTTCTTCCTTCGATTCTTTTATTTCAGCGTTATCCTGACCGAGTTCCTCCTCGTCGTCGGTGTCGTCATCAGCGCCCGGATGAGCGGAGACCTTGTGCGTCGGGCTACCCATTGTCTGCATGGTTCCCGGCTTTTGCCACATCTTTTGCGAGCCCTGAAAATGACGAAGAGAGGCCGCGTGAGCGACATATCGAAGAAGCGGCGTAAATCAATTTACAAGCAAAAGTTACCTTCATTCCGCTGACTTTCTCCATGTAGTAATCGTAAACGAACTTGGCCATGTGCGGCATGTCCTCGATCTCCATCGGGACTGTCGAAGGCACGGCGTCGTTCGGCCGCTCGGTGGGATAGAGCTCCTGCGGCAGTAGCTGCAGCTTCAGCGGTCTCTGCATCAGTTGATCGAACGCCGGCGTCAGCTCGAAACAGTTCTTGAAGAGGGACACGCGAGCGAAGACGTAGAGGCCGAGGCGGGCACGGGACATCGCCACCACTAGACGCCTCGCGTCCCTCAGGTGACCAACCGCGCGCGTCTTCACCAGAGACAAGAGGATGTAGTCGTTTTGCTGACCCTGGTACTTGTCGACGGTCGTCACTTTGTTCGGTCGGCCAATCAAAGGATTGTTCGCGCACCGGATGTTTATCACGTCCCTTATCAGGTGCTTCTGGCCGTTGTACGTCGTTAGGATGCTGATCTTGTCCGCCGGGTATCCCAGCAGGCGCATGTACATGAACACCGCGACGCAATACTCGGCCTCGGCGAGATTCTGGTAGAAGTAGGCGCTGGGCTCGCTCTCGCCGACGCCGTTGAAGTCCTCGACGTTCACCAGCTGGAAGTCGTACAGGAAACCGGCGTTCGCTACCAGATATTCGGGGCTGTGCTCCACGTGCGCCAGATTGCCCAGTTTCTTGTAGCGCCAATTGTAGAGATTGCAAATGCTGGGTCTGGCACGGCCCTGGCCGTCGAGATCGACCGTGGGCACGCCCAGTCTCACGAATCTCGCGAACAGGGACTGCTCCATGTTCGAGTACTTCTGGAAGGCCATGTTCTTGATGACCGGCGGCAGCTGATGATGGTCCCCGATCATTATCCAACGTTTCAGGCGATTATATCCATCCTGGGGATTTTGTAGCAACAACGGTATGAAAGTCTCTATCTCCAAGATCTGCGCGGACTCCTCCATGAGGATGTTGTCGTACTTGAAACCCATGTCGACAAGCTCGCGGCGTTTGAGCGCCGCGTGCGTACAGGTCATAGCGATCACCTTGGCCTCCTTCACGAGCAAGTATTTCGACCTGTCGAGGCCCGATCGTAGTAATTCGAAAGCGCGGAACTCCTCCAGCTGCGCGAATATTCTCTCGATATACCTGCGTAGATAATATCTCATTAAAAGTAGCCGCGATTATTTATCAAGGGTTTATCACGCGTGTTCTTACCTAAAGCAACTGCACGCAATCTTGAGATCTTCCTCGTATGAATTCCGCTTGAAAAGCGGCTGTGGGGCGTTGTCGAAGAATTTGTGGAAGGGAAATTCTTCGTCGACTATGGTAGATAAATCTGACTTTTCGCTCGTGTGCTGCCTCTGCTTGATCCTGACCTGGAAGCGGTCCCACCTCGTGGACACTTGATACATGAAGAAGTAACCCGCCGTTTCACACGTGTACGCGACGTCGCCCTTCACGTTCAGAGATTCCTGAGAGAAGAGATACATTGCAACAACGGAATACGATTAAACAGTATTAATAATTTGAAAAATAAATACCTGTAATCTCTGGACCTCCAAGAGCAGATCCAAACGCTTGGCGAGAACGTAATTGACCCTACCGTAGCGACTGAAGTCCTTTTCTGTTTCCAGGGCCTCCTCTCCGTGACCGAGACGCAGCAGATGCCGCTCGTCGATATCGAGGGCCATTATCTTCTCGAACAGCTGATTAAGCGCTTGATTCGAGTGCGTGACGATCAGCGTTCTCTGATTCGGAAAATTGTGATACAGATTCGAGATGATTTGCACAGCGACATCCGTTTTGCCGGTACCGGGCGGGCCGACGACCAGCGTCAGACCTGGCTGCATTCCAGCTCGTATAGCTTCGACTTGCGTTGGCGTAAAGGGAATCTGATTTCTGCAACGTGGCAACATGTTTTTCCTCCGTTCAAAGTAACACGTTTTAACATGCTATTAATACGCTACGAATAAACAAAGTGAGTGCTAACTTTTTCGGCTCGTTCGCTCTGTATGGACCTCTGCTGGGCGGCACGTGTGGTTTAACTGTAATGACCTTCTTGACCGGTTCGTTGTTGTGCTTCGCCAGGACATCCTCGAAAATCAGCTGGAACGGCCGCACCAGGTTCCCTTCGTCCTCCGGCTTCGTTTCGATTTGGTACTGAGGAAAGCTGGCTCGCAGATGGTCGATGTCGAGGAACGTGTCGTTGAAGTCTATCGTCGCGATTTCATCCGGCATTCTGTCGCGTCAAATAGTTTCAGTATCAAATAGTTAGGTCGGGCAGTAAGTTGACAGCCCACTCCCAAGAAACCAAATCTTCTCTCAAAGAAAGGCCTCTGATTGAAGATAAAAAACTAGAGGAAACTCGAGCCCGACTTGGACTGTAGCGCCATCGGGTAGATTATATAAATTATTACAGAATGCAAATTATCACAGAAGACAGTAGAAAATTTTGATTTATCTTTCAAACAAATAACCGAGATAAATTAGTATTGCTTGGAAGATACTGATGGAGTAATTTGCACGAGAACGTAATTGCAAAAGAATATATCTACTGTTAAAATCTCAGATATGCTCATCCGTTTATAATGAATGCTGTTCCGAGCAATCAAACAAGTTACACCCTCAATTTTGCTATTGGTATAAATGTATGGATGGATAATAGATAAAGATTACCTGGAATAGCATGCTGCACCCGGATCGCCGTATCCGAGGATTATGTCGTGCAACCAGTCAGGCACGACGCATTCAGTATTCATCAGCTCCCTTATTGTCTCTAACACGGCTTTGAAGTTGTTCTCCTTAGGTTTACGTCTCATTATGATATTAAATCCCTCGTACACGTCCTCGCCGCCGTGGCTGGCGTTATCCATATCGAGCCGGTATTGATTGCAGTCCAGCCACACTCTATAGGTGCGTGAATCGCCCGGTAGAATCGGCCTCGGCTCGGGGCCATCCTCTATCACTCTGCCGTTCGAGTCGAGCATGCCCTCGACCTCGCACCCTCGCACCGTCGTTAAACCCACTTGCGGTACAAAGGGGAGCTTGTGACTGTATTTAGTGCCTGCGACAGTATGACAATTGTCTTAGAGAACTCTGATCTATATTATTATGAGGCTATTAATTAAAAAGTTTTTTAAATAGCGAATTCATCGCTGAGACTGCATACGAAAGCAAAATTTGCTTATATATTCAGTCATTCAGTACCGTAATGAAACGTGTCTTATTGATAAAAATGTTAGAACAAGATACGTTCTTCAATTGCGACAAAATCGTCTGTAATTTGGAAGCTAAGAATTAATCTGTTATTTATAGCGAGTTATTAGAGATCTTTTCTTTATGTAATTCAATCTTATTTACGAAACAGACTCAAGTTACTCTCTTTAACATCCGTCTTATCTTACCGATAGGATTCGGCGGCTTGACTGTGATGAGGAAGCACACGTCGTGTTTGCGAAGGTTCTCCCATTCGGATTTAATTTCCTTACGAACGCTGAGGTTTATCGTTGCGTCGGCACGGACTCTCGATGGCCGGTTCTCGCCGACGTTAGGCTTAGCCACCTCGACCACGGCGAATTGCGTGATGGGCTGAGCCATTCTGGCCCATCCGCCAAAGTAGACACCGCCGTCCTCCGCTTGCCTACAAGTAAGAAGAAATATTGTGATTACTTTTATTTTTGCGAAAATACGAAGAGGCTAAATGTGCAACGCGGCGATTTAACATACCAAGGACTTAGCCTGCTCACGGCATCCTCGATGTCTTGTCGTATTTCGTCTGTGAACAGCAGCAATACAATGAGTTTAACTGATATATCCAGTCATAAATTTGGATAAAAAAAAACGACAACGCCGCCCACTTATTTTATTACAGCTTGTCACGTACATGTAGATTCCAAGCGGAATAGATTGAAATTCCGCAGCAGATAATCGTGCAACGTGAGGAACTGCAGGTTCAGTTTCGGCAGAGCCAGACAGCCCTCGCCAGAAAAATATTCGGTCGGGACGATGCTCTCGTTCCAGATGATATCCTCGGTCGGGTAGAGAGGCATCTCATTCAGCTCTTCGAGCTGCGACCGCCTACGCTCGTGTCGCGAAATCTGAAATTAAGACGCACACTCTCAGAATTCAGATCGACCTTGATGGCGTGAAATCTCCCGCGGTATCTCTCGACGTTTTCTTTTCTTTTTCGTACACCCACCAGCAGTTCGCGCAAGAAGTCTATATCCAGGCGGTACCAATTCTCATCCTTTTCTCTCTCCGCGGGCGGCACTAAATTTAAATAACTCGCGATAGACCTTAATTTTTCTTGACTGAAAAGAAAACACAATATTAGTCGCGGTGTTCCTCAATGCAAAACACTTCGTGGTGTTTATACGTCGATATAAGTGTTTCGCGCAATGAATTATCCGACGATATTATTTTCGAGATTAATGAGCCACGCGTATTTTGTAGAGTAAGCGAATAACATCTTACGTGTACGGAACTGACCTGAGTGAACCGAAGTGTTTGTACAAAGCATCCCTGACGTCGACGCTGGCTACGTTGGCCAATGCGAAGCTTCTCAGGTCCGGGAATTTCGCAAAGACCGCATTCTGAAAGGAGTTATAAATTACCTATTAGTCTCGGGATTTCAGGAATTTATTATACGTAATATCTACGTCAGCGTTAACGATACGGCTGATAGGACATAACGGCTGAAATTAAAATTCATGTCTCGGGATATTGGATCAACAACGTTTGGTTTACGGGAACTACACAACGCGTTCAGTCAACGCGTCGATTTGCTATTTTTGCATTAAAGGCAAAAAATCGGGGATGTCCTTTCGCATATTTTATTCAGCGCGTGTGCAAATTGCTTCTTAATGCGCGGCGATGGCAACAACTCTCCACGTACCTGAAGGGACGTAATCTTGGCGTAATGCAGCTCCGTCATGTCGTGATCCGTCAGAGGATTGCCGGTCTCCTCGCTGATCTCGAACCGCGCGTAAAACTTGAGCATCTCCAGGAGCTGCAATCAAGATAAATCGAACGGATAGTTTTTCGAACGGTGTTATTTATTGTTGCGCATTATAAATCGCATGGCTTCTTTCATGGGGACGCGCGACTGGCTATGCGCGCGCGATAAAACCAGAATCAACAGAATCATGCATTTATAATCGATTCTTCGACGTCATAGGAGGACCTGCCGCAGGTATGTTAATCGTTTTTCTCAACGGACGAGAGGTTTCCTCCTCTCCTTCGGCGAGGAATCCTCCCGAGAAATTCCATCGTCGAGGAGCTGATATTTATTTTCCGCGCGTTTCTCATTCGTTGTCTGACAAAATCATTTTCCGCAGTGTGTTAAAATCTCTCTCTCTCTCACTCAGCAAATGAAGATTATTAACTACTCATTTCTGGGTTTAAGACGAGCCAAAAAACATGGAAGATAATTCAGTTCTCATTTTAAACGTCCTGGTGTAATATTGTGTAGGCACGAAATGTATTATTTAAGTATTATATTATTATAATGCCTTCAAGGGAACAAAATCTTCCGGCCGTTCTCATTTATTAACAAAGGCAAGAGACAAAACAAGACAATGAACGTAAAGGTTGCGAGACGTGCGAATTAATGAAATAAAAAAAAGTTAACAGAGTAATCCGTTGATAGATACATCTCTCAGGTGGTACCGCAATACCGTGAATATAATAGCTTCTATCATATTCTTTGGGCAATTTTCGATGAAGACCGATAAATTAATAAGCTCGGCTTAATAGCGCGCCTAACAAACGAGCGTGCCAATTAGTGCGGTTCGTTACTCGTTCGTTGCTTGGCGTGTTCCACATATCAAGCGACTCTTCGAATGCGATTAACCGACTGCGGTTTGAAGGAAGCATCGCAGCGAATGTTAACGATAGTAATTAATCATATAGTAATTATCAGAATTGCCTATCCGTTCCGCCTTCCCGCTCGCATGTGCGTTGCAACACAATACCCCGGTTGGAGGATAATTCTAAAACTTTCGGGACAATCCAGACGCGGTGTTTCGCAGTGGACTCACATATCGCCAGCATTTTCATTTCTACGTATGAAAAAGATGCTGGACGCGTAACGGTGCTCCTTCAACGTGTTTCTTTGCCGCGTTCTCATTCACGAGGCGTGACGTTCGTAAAGCACCAACGATAACACGCAACGCCTCCGTGTTCCTTCTCCTCTTGACTAGACGGACGTTTATTTCGTGTCTCTCGACTTTGAAAGGGTATGCAAATCCAACCACACAGCGTTACGTACTGATAACGTATCACAAGTTCAATAAGAGAGAAACAACCATTTCTCACGTTCTACCACTCGATGCTAGAACTTGGTCCAAGTTCTAGTTCCGAAAAATGTTTAGCCCACCAACTTGCAGCTATTCCATAAAAACTGTAAGTGGATTGTCCAGACATTTCTTGAAACTACAAACTTGGACCAAGTTCTAGCATCGTGGACACAGGCCTTTACTCTTTTCTTAACTAATTAGTTCTCTTTGCGGTATGTATTCCCCTCGGAGAATCCCTTCTGCGTAGCTTTCGCGTCCCTATTTGCATATCGACGCCTAAGGGAGGATCCGCCGCTTCGGTGGACCATTGTTTCACTCTGGCCGTCGTTCGCAACGCGATCTGATGGTACCCCTCACGAGGGAAAGAAAAGAAACAATACGCGGCACGGTCGCACCGCGCGAAAAAGTGGGAGAGGGATCTCGGTGCTATCTTTCAGCCGCCGGCTCTGTCCGCATCGCCGGTAAGCTCCGGAGAACAGCTCGCCGTTACGTTCAGTTTCGCAGCGCAACCGCGTGAGTTCGGCCAACGGGCGACTCGCCGTTCCGATCGCTTATCAGGGCCCAATCGTATCGACAATCAAAACACACGTCGACTTCTCTGTAAAAGCCCGCGTGACACGCGTCGAGGGCTTTTCTCGTGATTTCGATAACGGGCACCTCGTCTGGCTCGATCTGTGCAAACAGAAAACTGCCTTTTTCCGCGACCAAAGTTCCGCGTCAGCTTTCGAGTGAAAGCGAAGGTCGATCGATAAGGCACCGATAAGGTCTTCTCACGCTCCTCACGTCTGCAGCAGCCCGGAATCGGGGCGACTCCGAAGTGCCAAGAGGGAAGGAAGAAGCGCGCTGACAGGAAGCGGGAAATCAGAAACGCAACCTGGTGGCAACGAAACTTGGAGCTTGTTATCTCTGGAGAACTTTCCACGATAAGCCATCGCGCGCTTGTTTCCTGCAAACACCAGTGCGATCTGTTGTCGGTCCGTTGACCCTCGCTTGGTCCGCGTGACCCCAAACCAGACTCTCCCCTTGGAGTTCGTGTCGCCGGAGCTTCTTCGCCCAGGTCGGCTGTCCATCTTCGGCGAGAGACAGACTCGCCCCGAATATCCAGGAACGAGGAGATGCGGTAACGAGAGCGAGAGATGATGTCGTTGACCGGCGTGAGTTATCCCAGGCAGCCGAGCGCCAGCAGAGGTGAGCTTCGTGTGCTTCCCTTGCGCGCCTTTGCGCGCTGGACTCTCCTCCTCGTGCGACGTTTTCACAGAAACCTTCCGTGAACCGGTTTTATCTGCGTCGGTCATAAGAAAAACTGATCGTAATTAATTAAACTGCCATTGGCAGCATCACCGATCGCTTCGCGCTTCGGATCGTTGTAATCCATTTCCCGGAACTTGGAAATCCTCCCGCGTGGAACCGATCACGTACATTGCAAAGTTCGCTTCTTCCATCAGTCCTAAAATATCGCAGTGTACAAAGCATGGTACACGCTGCGCATTTTACGATTCAAATAGCGTCACTTCTCTTTCATGTTGTTTCATAAACGTGCGCCTCGCGATCACGTCTCGTTCTGTCCGTTTCTAGCGAGCACACCAGAAACGTATCTCGTTTACGTAAAACGTAGCTCATTGGTATTCCACGACGCAAACTCATCTATAATACAATCGCCGCCGCCACGCGCACGGCCACGCCGGCGATGGAGCGTCCGATGTTCAATTAATTTATCAATTATCAAAACCTGAACACGCATTGTATAATGTTCAGGTGTTGATAATGTACAATAATGAATACGTATTGTACAATGATTATAAGAAAATTCGCGATTATCGGTAGGAAAAAAGAACTCCAATCTATCACGAGTATTTCCGCAACAAGGAAGCTGCTGTGAGGAGAATTATTACTAGATAATCGACTTGCAGTCAACATTAATGCACACGTTGGGATGCGCGCGCGCGCTTGGGAGAGACAATATTTCGTTGTCTACTTGGAAAACGCGCGAGTCCGCGTAAGGTCGTTGAAAACTAGTATCAAGATAAGCGCACTGTGAATTACTGAGAAAAAATCGCAACCGGCTCTCTATAAATAGGCGCAGATGAGGAAATGAATACTTTATCGCGACATTTCATAATCTTCATAAAGCTCGTTTGATCTAGAGATACAGAGCGGCATTAGGCAAGCCACTTCGATTATCAACAGCGATTTGCGCTCGTGCGATTTCTGTTGAAAATGAGACATTTCAAGCTGCAGCTGGGTGTCTTGAGGAGATCCTGTTCTCCTTCCTTCTTCACTGAAAGAAAGCGGATCCGCAGCTTTGAGCGAACGACCACGCATCTTACCTTCGCTTGGAAATATCTCATTTTCAACATTTTACAATATTGTTACAATATTCATTTTTGTTATGCTTTTTGAACATTTTCACAATAATCGTTGGAAGCTACGAGTGCCTACTGGCCCCTTCCTTTTTGCCCATGAATTCTATCGCTGGCGAATAGTTTATCGCGCTAACGCGACAATCCAGACTGAACGAACAGCGGGAAATTTATCGGCACAACACTTCTCTAATATATGTACATATATACACGGAGGCAATGATAACGGCGACACGTGAGGCATAAGAGCGCTTATTCCATTCATTATACGACAATTGCATGTAATTAAACATGGACGGCGTTTCCATCGGCTTTAATTAAGTCGTCCCCGCTGCGGTGAGCGACGTAGGTGACGAGACCGCGTCGATTCATGGTTAATTCCACGGTGTACTAAAAAAGCAAAAATTGTTTCCAACGTCAGACTTTTCCTAGAAGTTACGCGACAACAATATTCGACGATTACTACACGCTCGGCGCGTTGTAAGGCGCGACTTCTTGACTCCGTTGATGATTTGCGATACGAGGTATCGCGTTCAAAGTTTACGATCTCGACGTTCGCACCGTGACGGGATAGTTACATCGATCGGGTCAAGAGATCGCCCTAGAAAACTTGAATAATCTCGCGAGAGAAGGCGAATGTGTGTACACACGTTAACGATCGCATTTCGCGCAAAAGTAATATGTTATCCGGCGAGATTACCAGGCCGATATCATTATAAATAAAAGATGCGAAAATAACTGAGGCGTTCGCTTAACTGATGATAATAGCAACAAATCAACAGCGTAAAAGGAAAGGAACATTTTAGAATACGCAAGTTCGCAAGAAACATACACGCATTGCGTACCGATAAGTGAAGTATACACCATCTTTTTAACAAAGCGATTAACATTATCGGTGGATATTAAGGAGCATTAACATAACAACAAACAACTTGACGCCACGTGCGGGCGTGTAATCTCGCGACATGTGGGAACAGGATACCGCCGCAATTTTTGCAAGATAAATTATTCGGCGTGTTAACTCGCTCTCTGAATTTCGTGCTGCTTCAGCGTGAGATGCTCTCGTGAAATGTCAAAACGTGAACGCGGTCGAAACGGTACGCCGGAGTACCTGCACGTGCGTCCGGTCCAGCGCCTGTCAATAAAGAGTTAACAGTCGCAAGTTAACGAGAGAGCCGTCCCTCCTTCTTTCGCAACGATTGTTTGATATCGCACATCTGCCATTTAGCTGAACTGGGTTACGGGTGCCATTTCCACGTCGCGTCTCTTGTTGCGTTCTGCGGAGATCGGGCGACCGCTTTTTATTTCTCCTGCGTCGAGGAGGTGGATGCCGACATACGCAGATGGACCTGCGTCGTCTCGAGCTTGGTTTTCCCAGCAAGAGTCCCGCGCTTCATTTCCCGCTGGAAATCTCATAGCCCCCGGATAACTGAAACATTCACGTGATAACGCCGGGTCTAGTATCGTCTAAGATAAAAAAATGTTCCGATATCAGGTCGACCCTTGACGCGCACGGAAGCTCTGTTGAATGTGCGTGCCGTGCGTTAGAACGTGGCGATATATTATGGAATATTTTTAAATTCTATCGTTATGTTAACACACTAAACCCGTCGTCAGCTTAACGTGCATTGTATAAAGTTTTCGTAGGCGAGATTACGCCAGTAAAGACGGTGCCCTCACAAACGGGATCGTCGACAATACCCAGATTATTGTCAGACGAATATTGCGATCTTTGAGAAACTGACGTGGCCAATTAATGAGAAAAGATTCATTCCTTGTCACAGTTCCGCGCGATTAAACGTGACAAAACGGTACACGACTGTGTTATTTTAAGCTGCACCTTTCTGGCAAGCATCTATCTTTTCACAGAAGAGTTGAGTCAACCGTGTCGTTACGTTTAAACAATGCGATATTCCGCAGGTCCCCTCTGGTTGCTGTGGCTCTGTCTGTTCGCGAGCTCGGTCTCCCCGAGCCTGTCCTTCAACGTATCCTGCTGTCCCAGGAACACGGAATGGCTGGTCTCGCTCAATTGCTCGGACGGCACGTCGATCCGGCTGGAGTGCCCGAACCAAATCTACATGTTGGATCCCACGCGGGACGACAACTTCACTATTGTCCACGAGAACGACACCGTCTGGCTGCAAACGCCTGTCGATGATATGAAAATCCCGGCGGACAGGTAGAATCTCCGCAAACTTCCGCTTGTACTTTATCCGCGGACTAATTTATCGCGCACGTGCTCGCGGAAGGAGAAAGGAAATAAAGAGAAAGAGAGAAACGATAGCTGGAAGCAGCTGGGAGGTTGAGAAACACGAGGAAAATCCTGGTGTTTGGAAATTTTCTGCGCTCACGTAGTATCGCGAGATGCATTATTGTGGCAAGTTATTATTGCGCAATAGTCCCACGCAGTTAGAGTCTTCCGTAATGAGCGAACGATTAATATCGCGACGGATCCGTGACTGACAATGAGCGTTGATTTCGATCGCTAATGAATCTTCTTGTTCGTTAGATTCTGTACAACCAGAACGATGTACAACAAACCGGTTGCCCTGGTGTGTTTCGACGAGGAGCTGATGGAAGAGAGCGTGGTGAAGACGTGGAAAACCACGTTAATTTGCATCGTCAGCCTCATCTCGGCGATCTTCCTGATCATCACCCTGGCGATTTATGTTATATTGCCGGAATTGCGGGAGTTACAGGACAAGGCGATGATGGCTGCTGTTACAACTTTGGCGGTCAGCTACACTATCCTCTCCATTCAGCATTTACGGTCGAACTTTGAGGACGACTACGTCATCTGCGTTTCTCTCGGTATAAATATATATATATATATATATTAATAATCACATACAATTCTCGTCAAGTCGCTCTAACAAATGTAGAGAAACTTATCGCCGACTTACGACAAGTATACCTTGAAAGGCTGCACATAAAAATAGTCTCTTGTCCTTCCAACTTTCCACTATTATCCAATCCGTGCGTTTGCATTTCAGGATTTATATTGTACTTCTCCTTCATGTCTGCGTTCTTCTGGTTGAACATCGTGGCCTTCAACGTGTGGCGATGCGTGTGGTAAGTGCTAGGCAAATACGTCGCCGGATGTGCGTAAAATTGCAAACACTTTCGTCTATCGGAGAGACAGATACCTCGCATTTGCGCATGCATCTTCAACATTCAATTATCCGCACAGGTTTAGGAACTTCAGGGTAAAGGAGCAATTGCTCTTCTACACTTACTGCGTTTGGGGATGGGGCGGCCCGACGTGTTTCCTGATCGCCGCGCTGACGACGCATCACATGTCGGGCGAGTACTTGCGACCCGGCTTTGGCGAATACTCTTGTTGGTTCAGCGGTAAGTTTTAAGGAAAGAGCAGACGAGTCTCGCAAAAATATTGGAGTAGAAAAAAAGTTCAGCGAGTGACTTCGCATAACATTGTCGATTTAAGGGGTCCGTCGCGCCGAGCATTTTCTAGGATAGAATATTATTTTTCGTGTCCATTCTTTTCCACAGGCGGTACACAAACGTGGGTGTACTTTTACGGGCCGATCGCTATTTTGTTAACGTTAAACACGATCTATCTCGGGATGACCAGCTGGCGTTTGTGGCATCAATATCGCGATTACACGGGCAGCAAGCTGCGAGTCTTGCGATTTAAGTGCCTACTGTACATTAAACTGGTGTTCGTCATGGGTATTACCTGGATCTTTGAACTGATATCATTCGCCGTCGGGTCAAGATTGGATGAATTCTGGTAAGCAATTGTTAAAACACCCTGCCCTGGCGTCAGCGTCTATCGTTTGCTAATAAAGTGATTTTTTCTCCTCGCCAGGATAGTGACGGATCTATTGAACGGTCTTCAGGGATTCATCATATTCCTGTTGCTGGTCGCGACGCGGAAAAGAGTGCGGAAGCTGTTGGCGAAGAAGCGGCCGTGCGGTATCGCCTTCCCGAAATCCTGGGCCGCGTACGAGGACGAGGAGTGCGAAGAGGTGCTTCCCGAGGAGCTCGAGCTGTCTCAACAAGGATAAGGCGCTCACACGCGTCTTCCTTGCGCAATTTCTTTCCCAGGATCACGACGCGCTTTAGACGTAAGAAATATCGCCTGGGAAAAGATAATCTTGATTTACCTGTGCATTATCTGCAATCAGGCGCAGATAACGCGGCGTGTTGTCGAGCTTTTAATTAATCTGATTCTAGAATTAACTCGTTTGTACGCGCATTTCATTCTCGTGCTGCACGAATATTCTCGGTTTTGTATAGTCTCAGTTATGTTAGTCCGTTATCACCCGCGCGATTTAGTTTAATTGTGAGACCAATATTATTTTATCGTGTCTCTCGTTAACACACGTGTGTATCATCACTTATCCTTTTACGTATAGCGCCATAAGAGAGAGACCTAAAAATATGACGTTTGCCTGATAACGAATTAAGCAACACAAATACATGTTTCAAACGGCCGATCATTGTGGAACGCAAGCGTGCTGTTTTCACGATTAGCGTAATGGAGTACATTATTGTTAAGCGCTGCATAAGAATCTCTGTAAACATTATGCAAATGTTGATCCGAATCGCAGAGAGTGTCTCTGCGCGCAGGAGAACACGTGGACACAGAATTATAACGACGATCACAATTACTCATCGGTGCGTAATATCATTTCGCGCCTGTGATTCAGTTACAGTTTCTCGCTTAAGTCACTCGCGGAAATGTGACGACAGCCAGACGTTATCCACGTCCCCACGCTTCCCTACGATTTCCTACGAAAACGCGCAAATCCGACTCATTCGCGTTGTTGTTTTCTCCCGTTCTATCTACTTCGCTATCGCGCGGGTCCCCGGCGCGTGATATCGCGCGCGCGGTGAGAACGTTGCGCAAGCGAAACCAAACGTGAACGGGAGCACCTGCGACATTGGATTGGAGCCACAGCCACCGGGCAATTGAGCAACAAGCCGCGACGCAAGATCGCTCGCTTGTATCCCGAGGCCGAAGGCTACCGGGCACTTTCACCGCGGGCGAGACAATAGTCCTGATACGTGTGATGCGCGTATTAGCATAACAAGCACTCGTCAGAGAGCTCCGAGTGTCGCCCGATCCGATTCGCGCGGTGGCACAGGTTTAGACCAAGAGGTTTAGGGAGCTCGTCACCGCCGCAACGCGGTAAATGTGCGCTTTAAACAAACACACATCGCTTGTCCCACTTCCACCGATCTCGCGATAATTCGTTGCGCGTCATCCGCTTCGACGCGCGTTCATTAATGTAAATTGAAAGGCGCCCCTCCTCGAGGCCCCTTCTCCGTGGATTCTTCGATCAGTTCGAAGCTGATTCCGCGATTCCTCGAAGAGTGCAAGGACGACCTGTGGTTTAAAAATTATTTATATCCCCCGATATCTTAAAGGAACCTACATTTCACGTCGGTTGAAGGACCCACGGACGAATGGTGGGCTCCGCAAGAAGTGCGACAGTTTAACAATAGAGTATCACAAATGTATCAAATAATATCGCGTATGACAAACACGATCGCATTCACGCAGTACATTCTGGCTTGTTGCAGATAGCTGGTAACGACACGAGCAACATTTTTTAAGCAAAGTGGATCATCCCGAGACAATCGAAGCGACTAGAGACCCCCTGTAGATCTAGCCATCGGAGACTGGCCATAAGAGTTCGTCAAATTCCCGCGGGTGAGAGAGAAACATAGGCTATCTCACTCTTCTATGATCGTAGAATCGAGATAGTCTATGTTTCTCTCTTACTCGCGGGAATTTGACGAACTCTTGTGGCCAGTCTCTGGATTACAGGGTCTCTAGACGCGACGAATTCGCCCAAAATACATTCGATTCCGCAAAATAATCGGCAGAACGCTTTCACAAAATGTTTACAAACGTACGCACATTTTATACATTGCTACTTAGTTCTATAAAGTAAATCACAAGCATTGCCATTTAAATTCTCTCGCGTTCACAATATTTACCGAGGCACAGGCTAAGTGGACAGAGAATTCTTCCGATTAAATCTTTCATAATTTTCAACGTTAAAAACAAAATTAATACCTCGCTGTTATTTGAAATGCTGACTCATGCTGTTATGCGCAGATGCATTCGTTGCAGCCTGAGAATTTCGTACTTATGCTCTTTTTTTTTCTTCGTTTTCATAATTATATCAAAATGACTTAATAATAAAGTAACGTGTACGTAGTCGAACCGTCATTTGGATAAAGGTGAAGTGGGACAAGAAACGACATGGGAAAAAAGAAGATAAATGAAGAAAATCCAACGACAGATATAAAATATTATCTCCTCGCGTAAGTTGCTCGCGTACCTGCATATATCACCGCGGCCAGTAGGAATAACATATTAGACAGGCATGAGAATTAATCCACGACAATCCCGGAACTTTCGTTAAGTTTTATTATAGCTACGCTAATGAAATGCACCGTTAAACTGGAGATAAAGAAGGATATTGCGGTGATTTGTACATTCTCTCCGCGTGTCCTCAACACAGAAAGAAGTGACATGTGAGAAAGGGACTTGCAAGTTTGATTAAAGTTATTTAAGAAGAGAAATCATTCTATTACGACGTAAAAGTCGACGAATTTAGGCTGCACGAGGAATTAAAGACGCACACCACTCACTCCCTCTCTTTCTAGCCTCGTAAAGTTGACAATGATTCGATTGTTCAACGAAAGAGGAGCGTCACTGTCGTATACAATCATCATTGAGAGCGTAAATAGAGCATGTTAGCGTTACATTACGTCTTGAGAGCGAAAAGAGAGTGCCGACAAGAAGGGGAGAGGCCCGGCAGTCCGGAAGGCCCTATTGGTCTTTCTCGGAGGACTCTTTATTAGTCAATCTATTTTTAGCGTGCACTGTTAAATCGGCAAGTCCTACAGAGAATCTCGTGAAATTCTTTTCGCGCGCTCCAAACAAAAAGAGAATTGGAATAATTTCTACATTCTACCCATGTGTCGACGCAGGAAGGCATTGTAAGTGAGAAAAGAACTTGCAATTTTCATTGAAGCCGTTCAAGGAGAGGAATTTGAACACACGAAAACACTCGAGCAGCAGCACTTGAGAATTTCAACCAATCGGAATTTTCAGCGTCGCTTAATTTGCAGAATGTCCGCTTACATTTTACACTGATCAATCTCCCCAAGACCTTAAGTCTTACCGCTTAAATCCTACCGTGTATTTCTAGCTTTTGATTGACGACAACAGTACCTGAAGATGAACGTTGCCCTCTGTACTCTACATTTCTATTCATATCCCAGCAAATTTATCTTTACTCGCACAGTAAAAACACATGTTGTCGCGGGAACCAAAAGTCCATTTTTCATCT